AAGGCCGGCGGAATGGCAGACAACATGTGTATTGGTGGACTGACCAAATTTCCGAACTGAGAAGAAAATGCAAACATGCGCGACGCCTATGTCAAAGAGCAAGGGGTCGCGAAAATTTTATAGTGCACCAAGAAGCCTATAAAACATCGAGAACTGACCTAAAAAAGGCGATATCGAATAGCAAGGCAAGATGCTTCAAGGAAATGTGTGAGGAGGTCGAGAATAACCCCTGGGGACTAGGATATAAAGTGATTATGAAAAAATTATATAGCTACCGTCCACCAGTTACAACAGACGCAGCTAAGCTACAAACAATAGTTGAAGGTCTCTTCCCGCAGAGAGCTGATATAACCTATACAATACAAGATAGTGAGCCACAGAATGAAATACCTGAGGTTAGCAGGCAAGAATTGGAAGTGGTATGCAAAGGTTTGAAACTAACCAAAGCACCTGGAGTAGATGGAATACCAAATCTGGCACTAAAGATGGCCACAGAAATCAACGCTGATTCATTCAGGGAAGTGTTCAACGCATGTATAAAGGAGAGAACATTCCCCCAGATATGGAAAATACAAAGGTTGGTGCTTATACCAAAGGGCAATAACGTACAAGATGCATCAGGCTAAAGCCCGCTATGTATGATTGATACGGCCGGTAAACTTTTGGAAAAGATAATTAGCCGAAGACTAGAAGAAGCCTTGAATGGCAATGGTTTATCAGATAGACAATTTGGTTTTCGGAAGGCACGCTCCACAATAGAGGCCGTGGAAGCAGTCATAGTCATAGCAAAAGATGCCATTAAAGGAGACCGTTGGCTCGAAGGAGACAAAGAATACTGTGTCATCATTACATTAGACGTTAAAAACGCATTTAACTCAGCGGACTGGGACACTGTTCTAGCAGCACTTCAAGGGAAAGACGTTCCAAAGTACCTAGTAGAATTAATCGTTGACTATTTTAAAGAGAGAGTGCTTTTGTATTACACAGACAGAGGCACAAAGTCATACCAAGTAACAGCAGGGGTACCACAGGGCGCGGTACTGGGTCCAATATTGTGGAACATTATGTATGACGGAGTGCTGAGACTTGAGCTCCCAGAAGGCGCAGATATAATTGGATTTGCTGATGACATCGCGCTGGTGGTTAAAGGGAAACATATAGAAAAGATACAATCAACATGCAACGATGCGCTCGCTATGGTAAGGAACTGGATCACAAGTGTAGGCCTCAAACTTGCTGATCATAAAACTGAAGTCCTTCTTGTAAGCAGCAGGAAAAAGATTGAGTACATTACAATATCTGTTGGCAATGAGCGAGTCACATCAAAACAAGCATTCAAGTATCTTGGAGTAATGATTGACAATAGACTCACCTTCAAAGAGCATTTACGATATGTTGCTGCAAAATGTGCGAAAACAACGTGTGCACTATCGCGAATAATGCCCAATATAGGTGGACCTAGACAACAGAAGAAGCAGTTATTGACAAATGTAGTTAAGTCTATTGCTATATATGCAGCTCCCATATGGGCAGATGCAATGAATAAAAAGACGTACCGATTAGGAGTAGACGCAGCCTACAGAAGATGCGCACTCAGAGTTGTTTCCGCATTCCGTACAGTATCTACTGACGCGGCCATGGTTATTACCGGAATGATGCCACTACAGCAGGAAGCAGAAATTGAAAAGGAAAAGCATGTAGTAATAAGAATTGGGGTTACAAACTTCAATCAGCTCAATGAAGAAGCATTGAATAAGTGGCAACAGAGTTGGGATATATCCACAAAAGGAAGATGGACGCATAGGCTCATTCCGAAGATAAGTGATTGGACCAACAGAAAGCATGGGCAGGTGAACTACTACCTAACCCAGATGTTAACTGGACACGGCTGCTTCAGAGCATATCTTTTTAAGTTCAAACATGACGAAGACGACACGTGCCCAGCATGTCCATATACAAAAGAAACGGTGGAACATGTGTTCTTTGATTGCCCGAGATATGAGAGCCACCGCAGCTCCTTGGCAAGAGCAACCAGAGAGCAGGTCACACCTGATAACATCATCCAACTGATGTTAAAGTCAACAGAAATCTGGAACCTGGTGTGTATTTTTGCGAAAGAAATCACAGAAGAACAGAGAACAGCAGAGAGAACTAGAAGAGCAGTAAGAGATGACAACAATCGCTGAATCACCACCCTCCGAAGTAATGCTTAAAGGTGGTTCCGGAGGGATTTATGGTTAGAAGAGACACGGTGTTAGGATGAGGTTTAGTACGTAGGCGCAAATATCAAGCAAAAGAGTAAGTCTTGATTGCGAATCGTGCATGCTGGTAGTACGGGCTACCAGTATCTTTTGAAGATTCCACATCCCTTAGCTCGTATAGCTTAAAAAAAAAAAAAAAAAAAAAAAATGTTGTGCGATTCTAAATAAAATTTCACAATGTGATGTGCGAAAATTTTTGTGCACATCTTAAGTGCCACATCTTGTGTGCACAAACGAAACGCACATTTCACACGAATGAGATGGAGTGAAATAAAACTCGCACACGTAAACTTTGTTTGTGCCGAAGTTATTTCGTATGCAGTCGGGCTTTTGTCAGCCTCACTTGACTCACATATATGTTTGAACTGAACATCATACCAGTTGTGACTCGATCGAACATTGTTGCATGAGGTTGGGTGAATTTATTATAAATCCACCAGCAAAATAAAGTGGGTATTTCGTTTGTATGAGCGTGGCACTTCTTTGTACTACAGATTCTTTGGTTAAACTATAAAAACCCTTTTATTTTAGTACTAATATAAAACATTACATGGCGAACCTGTCACGATCTTTTACATCCTTTGAGTTTCTTGACTCATGCCAGTGTGTCGCATCAGATTTTGATGTCAATTAAAGAATCTTTGAAATTTTTTTTTATTTGTTTTTTGACGTCGTGATCGTACCTCGACCTCTAACTTTTTAAAATATGTAAAGAAAATAAGAAATCTTAAGAAAGAACCTTGAAATTGTCAAGAGCTGTCTATGCTAATTATTGCACCAAATTTTTTGAGCTACTTTAGTTTTTTGCTCCGTTTAATTAGTTTGAGTTGTATCAGGGGTACGAGTGTCTAGATTTTTTTGTGGTAATGTTAGCCTGTGACATTATTTTTTGTAATTCTTGATACTTTCAGATCATATTTATACAGTTTTTAGGCGTAACATAGGCTATTAAAACATTCGATATTAGTTATAATTTTAACTTAAATAATAAATTTAATAATTTCTGTTTCAAACTGTCCGACAGTTTGAATGATACTGATTTCTGTTTTGTTTATTTTTGTGTATTTTTGGGTATATTGTTCGAACTTTTACGAAGTAGCAGAAATGACAGATATAATAGAAATTCTATATGTTAATTAAAATAAATTAAAAATTGGTCAAAATATTATTTTTTAATAAATACATTTATGTTAATAATGGTAAACTTAAATGAAATTATAGTTTTCATTATGTATTTGAAAGAAATAGTAATTTCACATGATATTTAATTTCACCAATTTTTTATTATATATTTATTTTAAATGAAGCATTTATTTATTGCATTTCTGGAATATAAATAAAACATTCATATATGGCTAAAGTACTTTAAAAATGTCACATCATTGTTTGGGATGAATGCACAATGTCACATAAATATTCATTGGAAGCATTAAATCGAACACTTAAAGATTTAAATGCCACCGATAAACTTTTAAGAGAGAATTTAATTTTATTGGCAGGTGATTTTAGACAAACATTGCCAGTTATCGTCCATCGACAAAGTGGTATATGAAAATGAGATTGTGAATTATCCCACTGAGTTCTTAAATTCGCTTGATTTGCCAGGACTACCACCACACAAATTACTACCATCACACAATTTACTTTTAAAAATTGGTTCACCAATCATTTTATTACGCAATCTAAACCCACCAAAATTATGCAATGGAACAAGATTAGTTATAAAAATAATTATGATGAACTTAATTGAATCAACAATATTAAAGGAAAATTCAGAGAGAAAATATATTGCTTCCACGCATACCAATTATACCAACCGATGTTCCAATTCAATTCCATTTAGCTTTAAGGTAACATTATAGTAGCCCATAATTAAGCTATTAATAGAATATTAAAAAATCCTTTTCATTTGAAATGTAAATGTAACATAAGTAATGCATGTGGGCTTTTTGCAGTTTCAAAAAAAAATTCAAAATAATTTTCGCATTAAAATGCTTAAAGTTAAGTTGACATATACGGACACTACCAACATTGCTCAGGCTTTATCCTTAAAATTATACGGTTTAATTCTAGACACGGATTGCTTCTTACACGGTTAAACCTGAAAATCTCGTTATCTACACAGGTGTTGGAATAACAACAAATATTACAACTCAGCTGAGCAAGGACAATTAATTGCAAGGGGAGACAACGTTCACCGGGTCAGCTAGTGTTTTTATATAGAGGAGAATTTGATACAAATTTCCGTCCTTAAAGATGAATACTGGGATACTTCATATCGTTTGCTTGCGGTATAATTATAATAATCAACATAACAGGATAACACGTTTCCTTGCGCAACGTAAAAGTGACCAGCACACTTTTCGTTTCAATAATTTCTTTTACGCGATTTTCCAAAAAAAAAACTCAAAAAAGCTGAGATGTTTCGGTGTCATCCGCCAAACTAGTGACTATCTGATTTGAGAATAAGGGAAGATCAGCTGTGTACATGAAGGGAAAAAACAGCAAGAATATATCAATTTCTCTTGAAATGAAAGAATTGTATTTTAATTAAAACTTTCTAGTAGTTATATCTTAATATATATATTATCAGGAAGATAATATATATATTATATATTATATATATTACAATATAAATTATATATTATATATTATATATTATATATTATATATTATATATATATATATATATATATATATTTACATATATCCAATAATACATCGGAGTAAGACTTTTTGTCATGAAATGTACTGAATATTTCTTTGGCAAATCTTGTAGACTTGCTCAATAACCTTATGTCCTGTTTTAAAGCTTAATTTGTGATTAGGTATAACGTGTCTGCAGGTATTATATGTATCATTGTTTAAGAAGCTTTGGAATCACTTTTATTTGAGCCAATTTCCTTTCCTTTTTTTAATAGCCAAGGGAGAAGAAACTGTTGTAGATCAACGTCATAAACGATATTACTAGGTCTTGCAATTGCTGTATCATTGGGCTGGTATTTTAAACGGTGAGTCATTTTGGATTTATGATTTAAGGTTTTTCGCTGCCATCTACAAGGAATTATCAGTATTAGTATGTTTTTTTATTTTACTTTAAAAACAAATGTATTTCGGGCTTTAGACTAATATTGCAAGTTGTTGTGTGTAGCGCAACATTCAATTCAAATGTAAGCAAACAATAAATTATTTTATTTTATTTTTGAAAGTGCTTATGCACAAATTATTTTTGTACTAACCTATTTATAACTAATGTAATATGTAATGCGATCGCACACGGAAGAACCACCATAATGCAAGTAGAATGTTTGGTCATAGCAAGTATGCATTTGCTATTTGACACTTTTCTTTTCTGTACTACTATTCTGCACACGCCGATATGACACACTTGAATGTGTCATAATATTTTCTAAAATATTATCTTGTGACAAAAGACACAAGGTCTTACACTAAAGCAATAAAAAGTTAGACTCGAAAGAGCAAATGAGTTGTTTCGCTTGCACGAACTTAGTGAATTTCCAAACACTGTGTTCTCTAATAAAAAAAATTTCCTCATTGAGCAGTTCATAAACTCTCAAAATAATCGTGCTTTCTAAATGCACTGCCGAAAATTTGAGATTACGAATTGCTACCCATAGTATTTCCATCTCAAGTAATGATATGGGCACCTGTGACCGTCGATGGATGCTAATAAGTCAATGCGACTTATTATCTGGAAAATGTATTGGAAGCCTGGGGCACGCAAATATTTCGTTCGTGGACCATGGCACCGTTTCAAAAAACCATGAAACGTTAAAAAAAATTATGTTTCACACTTCATTTCGTCCATACAATGGCTTTCGAATTTTCCAGATGCAAATCCGATTGATCATTTGATCTGGGCCATTTTGGAGAGCAAGGTGAGGAATCAAAACTATGCCAGTATGGCTGATCTGAAGAAAGCCATTGTTCAGAAATGGGTCAAATTCTGGAAGATAACATTCGTGACTTTGGAGAAATTAAAACCCTGGCAAAAAATCGTGACAGTTGGAAAAAGTTCGTTATGGCCCAATGTTACCCTGGGAACGTACTGGATTGATTCATTGATTGCTCCTTCCAAGTCCGCTTTTGGTCTAATAGCATGTCCAAGTATTTGGCTATCTTGCAGATTGGTATATCAATGCTAACAATTTTAAGTTTGTGTTCTTCAAATTTCTTGTGATCACAGGATCTTCTTCCACAGTGATCTTCTTAGAGTCTATATTCATTGCAATTTTACTAGCTTTTTACGAAATTCAAATTGATGATTTGGCAATAGGTTGTTTTTTTTTTTGTATTATTGGTTCCAGTCGGGAGAAAAGAAGATTTTCAAATAGTTTGGGTAAGATGGGTAATAAGCTGATCGGTCTGTAAGAGTTGACAATTGAAGCATTTTTGTTTGGTTTAGGTATTGCTACAACCTTCGCTACTTTCCAAATAGAAGGAAAAATCTTATTGCTGAACATACAGTTAAAGATGTTTCTAATGTAAATGATAACTATTACAGGCAATTCCAGATGGAATTTCCAAGTTATCTCATCATAGTCCGGTGATTTTTTTGGGTTAATGTTAACGGCGATGATGGTTTTCAATTCAGCAATTGTTATCTTCTTAAGTTTAACATACTTCTGAGTCAGGTTCTTGGGTAGTGCATGGTTTATATCATTTTTAGGGTTTGTAAATGTGATCTTAAAATACTCTACATATTTAATAAATACTCAAATATTTAATATAAGTATTTTAAAATATTTATCAAACAAAATCCACCACCGCAAGAAATGGAAATCAATACAAAACAGCGAAAACAAGAATTGTCAAAATATTCGCAGTACGAGAAATGCTATAACTGCACAAGAAAGATAAGAAGCTTAAACACGGCACACAAAGTGATAGAAAATGTAACAATGACAATTAGAAAATACGCTATACAAAAGCTCAGGCGTATGGATATTTAAGACGGCGCATTTTCCATTTACAAATTTGCTCTCCTACAAAATACAAATACAAATACAAAATATGAATGCAAAATACAAAAACAAAAAACTAAACTAAATCTTTACCTGCACTAACCCTTTAAAACATTTTCTATGGAATTACAAACACAACTACATTGTATGAAAATTGCATTTTATATTTTCATTTTAAAAATATCGCACAGAATTTGCGCGATACTCTTGATTTTTATATTATATAACGCAAGTATACCAGTTATTTGTGAGTTTTAAAAGAAGAAGCAAATTTTAAGAGTTATTTCTGCGCGAAAAAATAAAAGGCATATAATAACAATTATTTTTGATGAATAAGATGATTTTTATTTTTTTTATGATAACTGTTACGGTCCCTGTTTACAACAAAGGATTTAAAATTATTACATACATATTTGAAGGAATAAAAAATTCGCATAGAAGTGAATGCATGCGTAATGTTTCGACGCATTGTTGGGAAAGATTAGACTTTCTGGATCGCGGCATTGTTAATAATAATAATAAGAAATAACAGGGTATTAGCTCCCATTTGAGCAGAGCACCGCGACCATGATTGATCTTTTGTGCTACAACAGACCCTAACTGAACAAAAGACATTCCGCCTTTCGAATGAAGGCCAGAATGTCGGTTGTTGAGGACCTCCTAATGTCGGGCAGTCACATAGAATGTGGCTGGTTGTCTCATCTGCCTCCAAGCAGAGTCTACAATCTATCTCTTCGGATAGGCCCATTTTGTTGAGGTGGTAACGTAGCCCATTGTGACCCGTTAGATATCCCACTAGCAACCTCAACTCTGTTCTGCTAAAGGAGGATATCTTATTATAACTATAGGGGAGAACCAGCTCTTTAGCCTGACGGTTACCTCGACTGTCGCGCCAGTAGCGACTTCTCTCGGTTGAGATCCAGTTATTGATTAGAGACCTAGTTGTAGACCAACTTAATCCACAAAAAGGTTCTGGGCCACAGATTAGAGTGGCGGATCCTGACCGTGCAAGACTATCGGCAGACTCATTACCATCAATTCCTGTGTAACCAGACACCCAGCACAGTGTCACTTTATTATTGCTTGCCAGCTGCTGCAGTGTGTCATAGCAATCTGCTAGAAGTTTTGAGTAAAACTTCCAGGAGCATAACGCTTTGCTGCTTGACTATCTGAATAAATACAGATTCGGGGGCCTTTCAACCCCTTATTAATGTTGATACCAGCGCAGACCACGATGGCGTGAACCTCAGCTTGGAAGACAGTGGGCCATATACCCAGCGCGAGCGAGATTCTGGTGTTTGGACCAAATATTCCAGCACCAACTCCTTCTTTAGTTTTCGAACCATCAGTATACCACGATATCACTTTTGGTTCGAGTCCAGGAGTGCCATTTACCCAGTCCAATCGATCGGGTATGAGGACTTCGGTTAATAATAATACACACACTTTAAAATATATTAACAACACTCGCACAAAACAAACAAATCAACCGATAAAATGTATATGTTTTTTTGCGATAATCGAAACAGCTATCTGGCCATCCGAAAAGTCAATAAATTAAAAAATAAAGTTTTCCTTTTTTTAGTATTTTAAATAATTTCCTTATTTCTCTATGAAACAAAAAAAAAATTAGACTTTCGATACTCACAGCTCATATATTGATGACAGTATTTATTTATTATTTATAGCAGCTTTTTGAAATTCGGTTAATCTATCTCTTTCCTCTCTCATCTATAAATAACCGGTTTTTAAGTTCATGTTCATGTTACGTTCATGATAGTTCTTGTCATTTGTTCTCTATATTCGAGTATCGAATTGAATCAAGTATCGAAATTATTCGAGCTCAACAAAACTTGAGCTGTCGATTGCGAAAGATAGCGGAGTTTCAAACCTAATATATTTATTAATTAATTTTCTTTAAAATTTTTTCCAATATTTTAATGTATTCTGTTATTCGGAGCGAAGACGAATCCAACGAATCAAAGATAATTAAAATCGGTCCAGCCGTTCTTGAGTTATAAGTGGTCTAACTAATACGACTTTCTTTTATGTATATAGATTATATTATGTAGGTTTTCTTTTTTTACAATTTATTTCATAAAGTAGTTTCATTTATTATCGCGATTTAGCAATACAGAAATTCGCACAATAATGCGGTTCAATAATCTATACGTTCGCGCAAAGTATTTACAATTATTTGCGTGGCCTTTTTTCGTCTTTACATTGTCGGAGCCTTCTGCTCCGTTTCTTTCTTTTGCGCGTTGCCAAACTCGGCGAGGGTTGCCCTGCGCCCCAAAACAGATAAAACCTTAAAACTAATATTACTTATCCTACATATGTTATATTATATTAGATGTAGTAAAAAGAAATCCATTATTTTTTCTAATAGATGGATTTAGTTATCTATATCCCAAGTTGTATAAGTCCAATCGGATTGCTCTAGATGGCGTTAGAAAGATGCGATTTCGTACTAAATAAACTTTTGATAGTTTGGAAATTGATTGACTCAGTTTTATTTAAGCGTTTTGTAGTGTCAAAGATGGATACTAGCAAAGATAAAATTAGACATATTTTCTTTGATAAAGGCGAAAACGCAAGCCAGGCGGCTGATGATGTGAATAGTGTTTATGGTTCTGATACTGTAATAGCCAATTATGTACAATTTTGGTTTCATCGATTCCATTCCGATAATTTCGAGGTCAAAGATGCATCACGCACTGGAAAGCTAATTGTCGAGTCCGACCATCATGTAAGTCATTGTCACTGTTTTAATTACCCAAGAACTAAAGATTGCACAAAAAACCGTGACCGTTTGAAACTATTTGAATAAGGCTGAATACAAAAAGAAGCTCGATGTATAGGTATAAGTGCCATACGAGTTAATGTTAAAAAACCTAATGGACCGAATTTCCATCTGCAAATCACTGCTGAATCGCAACAACATCGATCCATTTCTGAAGCGGTTAGGGTTTAGTGATGATAAGTGGATGATTTACGACAACGAAAACGGTAGTGGTCGAATCGTGGTGTACCGACTGAAACGGTAGCTAAGCCAAAATAATCGGCCAG